CCAGTCTGACCAGTGACTTGGCTGGGCTCTCCCATTCTGACCAGTAGCTCCCGTTAGGCTGGGCTGCAGGAAGGGGGTAGCTCCAGATTGCCTCCCTCCCCCTTTCTAGGAATCTGAGGAATTTGCCCCTCCCCCTCATTCCTCCTGGTGGCCCTGCCCTCCCCAGGGGAAGGGAAAGCTAAGAAAGGGGAAGGCTGGGGTGCGAAATCAAGCTTGCTGGGCCTCAATCAGGTAGGCGGGAGAGTTGAGGGGCTGGCTGGCCCTTCCTAGCCTGAATAACTGGATCTGGGCCTGAAGCAGGTGGGAGAGCTGAGGAGCTGGGCTGCCGCTTCCTAGCCTGGATAACTGGATATCTGATGGGGTGAGAGAGGTGTGCTAATTCTTGTGGCCTCCTGGACAAAGAATTGACCTGGGTTCAAATCCCCCTTTGTCACCAGCTCTATGACCTTTGAGGGTAAGTCCCTTCCACTCACCCAACCTCATTTCCCTCCCAGAATAAATGTCCAAAGTCTCTTCTTGCTCTGTCTGTGATTCTAATTCCAAGTCCCTGGCCCAATCAGTCAGAATGGAAAGGCCACCTGCCTTTTGATGGCTGAGAAGTCTGGGTCCCTGAGCAGGGGTGGGGCCCTGGAGTCCTCCTTCCAAGTGTCCAGCTGACCCCTGGTGGCTCCTTGGGGGACCTCATCCACAGGACACTGGGCTCCTGGGGTGGGTGGGACCTCTCCTCTCCTTCCCTCCCCCTCATTTCCGACAATACTAATGGCAGACATTTACATGGCTTTTTAAAGATTTAGAAAGTACTTTACATACCACACACATACGCACAGACACACACTGGAACTCCTTTCTCGTGTATTTAATTGCTTATCACAGCCTCTCCCACTCTTACATCAAGGACTTTCAGTGAATTGACTTTCTGGAGTCCAACTTCTGAGTTCTGGTGTCTTGGTCTCTGCAGTCTGTTCTAGGTCATCTGGGTTTGGAGTTCTCTTTGGGCTCTGGACTCTGCCTGGGCTCTGCACTGTGAGCTCTCTTTGCCTGGGCTTTGAGTTCTCTCTGAATTTTGCCGGGCCTCCATGTTCTGGGTCTTGCAGGCTTTCGGTTCTGCCTGGCCTCTGGGCCTGGGCTCTAGTCCCTGTGTTCTGCCTGGGCTGTGGATTTTATCTAGGGTCTAGTTTCTGGCTGGTCTCTGACTTAGGTTGATACTCACTCTGGCTAGGTTGGGGCTTTGGAATTTCTTTAGTCATTGTGTACTGACTGGACTGGGAGATTTTTTTCCTCTCTCATGCTGGGTTCTGAGCTCCAAATCCTGCCTGGTCTCGGATTTCTGCCTGGTTCCTGGCCTTACAGACTCATTGATTTTTAGAGGGGGTAGGGACCTCAGAGGTCATTCTGGTCCAAGCCTCTCATTTCCTGGATGAGGCTCCCTGGGCTCTGAGTCGTCAGGGTCCTGGGCTCTAGTTGGGACCTAGAGAAGAAGAGGAGGAGGAGGTCGGTCAGAGAAGGCTGCCCAGAGGGGCATGGAGAAGGAGCGGTCTGAGCAGAGAGGGCTCAGCTGGGCCTCATGGGTCCCTCAGGATTGGCAGCTGATTGGTTCAGGGGCTGCTCTGTTAGATAGATTATATCAATTCATTCTCTTTTTCCTTCATTGGTCCCTGTTTCCCCACCCCAGCCAGATCTAGGAGAACCTTCTGTTCTACTTGCTCCTCCAATAAACCCCTTCCCAGGTATGAGCCTCTGTCTTCCAGGGACCCAGACATTGAGGACCCACCTCGAGGTCCTTAGAGATCTAGTATGCAGTCCCTTCCTCAAACACTCTAGCCCCATTTCAGAACTGAACCCAGTGTCCCTCACTCACCCAGCTGCCCCTATTCTGAACTGAGACCCAGGGAAGAGAGGCAAGGAAACCAATCTGAGGGAAGGCCAGTAAGGGCTGGAGTCTTGGCAGGTGAAAGAAAGGCGAAGAGGAACGTGGGGTCTGGGAAGAACCAAATGGCAGAACCAGGGAGTGTCAGTCAGAGCCAGGAGGACTTTTCTCTAACTCCTTCATGTGCCAGATGAGGAAATCAAAGATCCGAAAAAGGCAGTGACTTGCCCAATTTGTTTTTGTTCAGTCATTTTTTCAGTCGTGTCTGACTCTTTGTGATCCCATTTAGGGTTTTCTTGGCAAAGATACTAGAGTGGTTTTGCTATTTCCTTCTTCACATTTTACAGATGAGGAAACTGAGGCAAACAAGGTCAATGACTTGCACAGGGTCACACTGCTAGTGTCTGAGGCTGGATTTGAACTCAGGAAGATTAGTCTTTTTGACGCCAAGCCTGGGGCCTTATGGCTATAGTGTCCCCAGGTGTCCCTGACTTGCTCAATAGATCATAGGAAATCAGGAGCAAAGGTAGGACCTGATTCTAGGGCATCTCAGCCTCTGGCTCTTTCTCCTTTTGCAAGAGTGGAGCCCTCTGTGAGTTGGGGAAAGGGCCCTAGGCTAGGAGTCAGGTGTTACTCATGGTCTATGCAGCTCTAAGCAAATGAGTCGGAGCCTCAGTCTCTCATCTATCAAAATGAGGGCATGGGACTTAATGGTTTGTAAAGGCCCTTCCATCTCTGATACTCTGAGCCCAAGTCCTAGGTTGGCCTTACTCACTCCAACTATTCTTCCTCTTATCTCCTCTGACTCATGTTCTGGTGGGCTCATCTCTCCTATTTCAGCCTATACTTGAGGCAGCTGGGTAGATAGGAATAGATATAGATATAGATAATGGATAGAGCACTGGCCTGGAGTCAGGAAGGCCTGAGGCCTTCTCTGGCCTCTTATTAGCAAATCCTTAGGTGGTTATCCTGTCCCTCTTGAGTGTAATCTCCTCAATCCTCCAATGGATGCTCTTCTAACATGGAAGACTGTTCCTTGGGACAGCTCGACTTTTGAGAAAGTTCTTCCTTGTATGTGTGTGTGGGTGTGGATGTTGAGCAAGTACCTGGTCAATTGGTTTTTCGTGGTACAGTGGGAACACCACTGGTTCTGAGGTGAAAAGACACGGGTTCAGATCCCACCTCTGACATTTACTACTTGTGTGCCTTTGGTTAGTAATTGAAACTCTTTAAACCTCATCTGTAAAATGAAGAGCTTGGACTGCGTGGTTTCTAAGATACCTTCCAGCTCTAAATTGAGGATCTTTTCTGGCCAGATGAAGAAATCCCAAAAGATCAGTGGCATGTTAAGAGGGCAATGAAGTATGATTGCCTTGAACTAAGGGCAAAGAAGGGTTTTCACTTTGTTACCCCTTTACCAGGTGTGCAGAAATTCTCTGTGATGGAATTAGAGGACAGCTTTCCCATGGTGGACTTAAAAAAGCAAGCTTGTGTGAACAAACAGTGAGCTTGTTAATTCTGGAGTCAGGGAAGCAAGCAGTTCTGAGGAGCTGACCTTTGGCAGTAGAGAAGAGAGCCAGCTATGGAAGAAGAATCCAGTCATTGAGAAGGAATACTATTCCTTCCCCTTTTCTTTCCTTTTCCTTTTCCTTTCCTCGGTATGTCACCTCCCATTAGATTGTAAGCTCTTTGAGGGCAGGGACTGCTTTTCTTTTTTCTTATTTGTATCCCAAGTGCTTAGCAGGTGCCTGGAACATACTAGACACTTAATAAATGTTTATTGACTGACTGGTTGACTGGTTTTCTTTGTAGCCCAAGAGATGATACCTTACCCAAAAGAAAAAGAATTAGCTTTGGCAATTGGAGAGTAGCAAGGCCAGGGACCAGTTGAGTGACCTGCCAACTGAGATCCTGCACCCAAGGGGAATGATATGAGGAGACCAAAGGAAAAGAAAGGATATCTGGGTCCAGCAGTGCCAGAGGCAGAATTTGCCTTGACAATATATTTTCATTCTAAGTGTAACTCTCCGTTAATCACTTTATTAAGCACTTACTCTGCTTAAAGGTAGAAAACTAGGTGGCCTGGACTTAGCAAAAACTCATCTTCCTGAGTTCAAATCTGGCCTTAGATACTTACTAGCTGTGTGACCCTGGACAAGTCACTTAACCCTGTTGGCCTCATTTCGGACAAGACCGAAACTACCGAATAACAACAACAATATGTATAAGGGATTCGGCTGAGGGTCAGGGATACAAAGAAAATGAAAAAATTATCCCTGTCCTTGAGAAGTTTATATTCTAATGGGAGGGCAGAAGGGACAGAAAGTACATAAAATGGTGCATACAATTTACATAACAGAGCGGATGGAAAATAGCCTCAAAGGAAAAGGTACTAGCGTTTTTTTTTTCTTGGTTGGGGGGGGACCAGGAAAGGTCCTTTTCAGAAGGTGACTTTAAGATAAACCTTGAAGGAAGCCAAGGATTCTGTATCACTGTTCTTTATATGCCCACTTTCCCCACTGACATTATTTTTATTTGTGGGAGAATGTGCCTCAGGTTTATGGGGGAAGTGATTTATTGCCGTTTTTCTTACAGTGCCATCTCAGTTAATACCTTTGCTTTGAGCTAATTGTATCTACTGGCTGACTTAAAGAAAAGCATGCCAGCGGGGGCTTCTGTGCAGTGCAGATCCATAGAATACCTTGAACTGTGGGTAGAGGTTGCCCCCATAAGAAGTCAGTCTTGCGAGTGGGAGTTAATGAGTAGCCTGAACGGGATACTAAATAAGATCCCTGTCACCAACTCTGACATTCCTGTTTTAAGATCACTCCTAGCTCTGATGTTCTACGTTCTATGTGCTAAGGTTCTTTTAGAATTGACATCACATATGGGACAGCTAGGTGGTACAGTGGTTAGAGCACCAGCCCTGTAGTCAGAAGGACCTGGGTTCAAATCCAGCCTCAGACACTGCTAGCTGTGTGACCCTGGGCAAGTCATTTCACTCTGATTGCCTCCCGTCTTTAAAGATCCCTCTCAACTCTGACATGCTATGTTCTAAAGTCCCACTGTTCTAGGGGTCCTTCTAACCTGACGGTCTCTATTCTAGCTGGATTTCCTGCTCCAAAAGCCCTCTCGCCTCGATATCCTAGGATAAATATAAATAGCTCTCAGCCCAGCCCTTCTCTTTCCGATGTGGGGGTTGGTTTCTATGGACTCTAAGAACCCTTTAGTTCTCACTGTGTCCACCTGCATAAGTGGGCAGAAGCAAGTGTGTGTGTGTTGGGGGGGGTTGGTGGGGGAGGGCACTTGGGTATACAGAGAAATCAAATCCTTGAAATCAATAGTTGGCCCCTCTTCAAACAAACAAGGACTCAGGAAGCAAGAGAACACAGCCTTGCCTGGGCAAACAGAGGGCCGGCAGGAAGGGGGGAAGGACGCCCTGTCAGCTCCAGCCAAATATGGAGCCAGGTCCAAGCGGCAAATGGAAGGCAGGAGTAGGAGGGGAGCTCCCTCAGGAGCTCAGGAAAGGCTTTTGGGGAAGAATAACAGCCAAGGAGGCAGGGCATTGGGCCCTCGGGCCACCACGGCCATGCAGTCCCAGGGGCCTGTCTGCCACCATCGGCGACTGCGCAGGCCCAGGAAAGGGTCTGTAGCAGGCAGAGAAAGCCCCATGGCCTGGGACTCTCATGCTCTAGTCTAGCTGACAATTTCTGTCTCTCAGAATTAAAGGATGTCAGAGCTGGGAGGGCCCTTAGAGCAGGGAATATCAGGGACGGAAGAGGCCCTAGAACAGGGAATGTCAGGGTTGGGAGGGCCTTAGAACAGAAGATGTCAGAGCTGGGAGGACCCTTAGAACAGGGAATGTTAGGGCTTGGAGAGACTTTAGAACAGGG